CTGATACCATTTTTCTTCTGCCTAAAGACTTCCTTTACCATTTCTTGTAATACAATTTGCTAGTGATGAATGATTTCATGTTTTGTGTGTCTAAAAGTATCTTTGCTTTTATCTTTAAAAGATATTTTCATGAGTATAGAAATCTAGATGGACAGATTTTTACCTTTTAATACTTTAAAGATGTGGCACTATCTTCTTGCTTGCATTGTTTCCAGCAAGAAATCTAATGCCATCTTTATCTTTGTTCCTCTATATGTAATGTGTTGTTCTTTCGTTGCTTTTAAGATTTTTTTCTTTATCATTAGTTCTGAAAATTTTGATTATGATATATTTTGGTGAGGTTTTCTTTATGTTTCTTGTACTTTGAGTTTGTTGAACTTTTTGGATCTATGTGGTTGTAGTTTTCATCATATATAGAATATTTTAGGCTATTATTTCTCTAAATACTCTCCATCACCATTTTATGGACTCTATGCATTTTGTCCAAATAAAGTTGTCAGACAGTTCACCGATATGCTTCAGTTTTTTCAGATACTTTTTCACTCTGTATGCTTTATTTATGATAGTTTCCATTGTTACGTCAAGTTCACTAATCTTTTCTTTAGACATATCTAATTTGCCATTATTCCCTTTCAGTGTATTTTTTATCTTAGTCATTGTAGTTTTCATCTCCAGAAGTTTACTTTCAGTGGGTTTTTTAATATGTCCTATGTCTCTACTTAAATTTTTTAAAATATAAAATACAGTTAACAATAACTATTTTAATGTTCTTATCTTCTAACTCTAATATTCATGTCAGTTCAAAGTCAGCTATGCTGATCAATTATCCTTCTCACTATGGGTCATGTTTTTCTTGCTTCTTTGAGTGTTTGCAAATCTTTGGTTGCCAGGCTTTATGAATTTTATCTTTTTAGGTATTGGATATCTTTTTATTTCTATAAAATGTATCTGAACTTTTTTCTGGGATACAGTTAAGTTACTTGAAAATGGTTTCATTTTTTTGGATCTTGCTTTTATGACTTGTTACGTGGGTCCCGAGCCATGTTCTCTATGGGGCTGGTTATTCTCCACTACAGAAATAAAACCTTTTTGAGTATTCTACCAAATTCCTCATGAATTGTGAGTTTTTCCAGTTTCTGGTGGAAACAGGCACTATTTCTGGCTCCGTGTGAGCACCAAAGAATGTTCTCTAATGCTTTCAAATGGTCTACCCTCTTCCATCTTTGGGGAGTTTCCTTACATGCCTGAGCTGGTCAGGACTCTGCTGATACTTGAAAAGCCCTTTCGCTGATTCCCAGGGTCGTCTCTCTCCTTTTTGAACTTCATCCTGTGACTCTAGTCACATTGGTCTCCCTGTACTGTCAGCTCCTTCTCTTCAATTCCGAGACTCCACCACACTTTGTCTGGGTTTTCTCTCCCTGAGCTGTAGAATGGACCCTCTCCCAAAGTGGCAAAGTGGGAAAAGAGTAGGACTCACCTAATTTTTTCCCCAAATCTTGGTGATCACTGTCCTTAATTCTCTGATATTCAGTGTCTTAAAAACAATTGTTTCATATATTTTGTCTGATTTTTTTTTATTGTTTTAGGCCGGAAGATACTGGTACTCATGTCCCTGGTACCCTATCTTGGACAAAAGTGGAAATCCTTTAAAAAGTTTTATTAGAGTTGTAACAATATCCAATTTGTGGTTTAGAATGATCATCTTGACGGTAATGTAGAGAATGAACTGGAAGGAAACAAACTGAAGTGGAGGAAGAACAGGCAGGGCCGGAACTAGGGTAAGGCAAGTGAAGCACATAAGGCACAAAAGCTAAGGAGGCACTGACTCTCAGGGTCATGCAAATGCCAGCTCTGCACTTGTATCCCTTTGAGTGTGAGTGCTTCCTTAAATTTTGTGTCCTAGCACCTCAGTCACCTTACCCTAGTCCTGACCCTGAGAACAGTTATCTGTTTTTTGCAGTAAGTTAAGTGAAAGATGATGATGCTTTGGACAAATGTAGATGCAAGAAAGACAAATAGTGGGTATACCTGAAATATATTTAGAAAACAGAATCAACAGATTTAGAGACTAATTGGATGTGGAAAGAGGAAGAAGTCAAATATGACTGGATCTCACTATTAACCCACATCAAGGATCTAGCACTCTCTTTTCCTAAAATCCTTAACCATTATTATATCAATTTCCACTGTCATCCAGATTCTTTTCCCCTGCAAACTCAAGTCAAAGAGAGAAACAGAGAGAGATTGAAATATAGGAGGGCAAGGACCTTTTGTCTTATTCAATGTGGAAATCCTAGGACCTAGCACAGTGTCTGAGATATAACAAGTGATAGGTATTTATGGAGTCATGTAGTTACCCTCTTAGCCTACATATAACATGGCACCAAAAAGAATCCCACATCAACAATTTCTGAATAGGACTCCAGAATAAAGATTTGCAGGAAGAATGGTAAATTCTAGAGCTGGATTAGATAATTTTCTTAAACTCAGCCAGGCCAATTAACTAGGGTCTACTTGTCAGGGCCAGCCCAAAACTGTTCTCTTCTGAGACCTGAATACCTATGGATAAATTTCTTTGGATATATCCTAGTCAAGAACTTTTCTAAAATAGGTGTCTTATTTTTCTGACATACAATCCAAATCTAGAACTTTCTATGATCGTTTTTACTCATTCCTGTCTCTTTTCCACTCTAGCTTTCTACCTACAGTTTCTTTAATAAACTTCTTTACTCCTGATATTTTGGCTTTTTCTTTGTGTGCTTTCCCAGTTTACTCCTAAATTACTTCCCCAATAAACCTTGAATAGCATTGTCAGAACCGCACACTCCATTTTGAAGATCACATCTGCATATTCAGTTTTCACAGTCTCTGCATAAACCTTAGGGATTGGCATAACTACAGTGTGATTATCTTTCCATTAGACAAGCACCAGGAAAACATCCCTTTCATTGCTCAGTTGATTTTTTCTTTTTTTTTGTTATGTGCTGTCATACCATCTGAGCAGATGGCTTTTTCAGCAGTCCTCCAAATGTATGTAAAAAGCTGAGCCCAATAGTAGGGAGTGACTATTTCAATAGGCCCAGATGGTGGGCCCACAGTTTCCTGTCTTCATTTTTGTTATGCCCAGGTTGAAGGCTACAGCCTTAAGAGTGACTTGATCAAACCAGATTGTAATTCCTTCCTCCTTCTCTCTCAGATTTCGCCACATCGCCATCCAACACACCAGGACGTTCAGTCTCAACCTCCACAAATGTCCGGAGTGCAGAACAAGAGAATGGAGATATAACCCTTATAAAGCGCCGTATATTTGGCCACAAGATTATCGCCGTTAACTTTGCAGTCAATGATTTATATTTCTTTTCTGAAATGGAGAAGTAAGTTTCCCACCTCTCTTTTGTCTCATGGCTTTTCATCCTTAGTGCTGCCCAGCAAAGACTGGCTTGTCCTGTAAGAGGCACAGTGATTTCAGCCCTGCCAAGCAGGAGTCTCCTTCTGAAAATTCTACTGAATGCTGTCATGCTATCAATTTCCACCATTCTTTTCTTTGCGTCCTAAAAGCTCTTCAGTATTCTGGAGTTTCCAATGTTGAAATGCACTACTTATTCCCAGGAAATGGAACACTTTTTTCTCCATTATTTACAAATACGAAAGAAATCCTCTTATGTAGCACTATTAGACCAGTAGTTCTTCAGTTAAAGCCAAGAATTATAATAATAAAAATTATGTGCATATGACATTAAACAGATATTTTTAACCCTACAGTAGATTATTGTTAACTATAGTCACCCTATTGATCTATCAAACACTAGATCTTATTTATTTTATCTAACTGTATATTTTTACCCATTTATCAAACTCTCTTAATCCCCTTCTTCCCTCTACCTTTCTTGGCCTCTAATAACCACCAATTTACTCTCTATCTTCATAAGATCCACTTTTTTAGCTCCCACACCTGAGTGAGAACATGTGATATTTGTCTTTCGGTGCTTGGCTTATTTCACTTAACACAATGACCTCAAGTTCTATCCATGTTACTGCAAATGACAGTATTTCATTCTTTTTTATGGCTGAATAATATTCCATTGTGTATATGTACCACATTCTCTTTATCTTTATCCTAAGATGGGCACTTAGGTTGATTCCATTTTGGCTATTGTGAATAGTGCTGCAATAAACATGGGAGTGCAGATATTTCCTTCATATCCTGATTTCCTTTCCTTTGAATGTATACTCAGCATTGGGATTGCTGGATTATATAGTAGTTCTATTTTCAGTTTTTTGAGGAACCACCATACTGTTTTCCATAATGGCTGTACTAATTTACATTCCCATCAACAGTGTACAAGGGTTCCCCTTTCTCCACATCCTCACCAGCATTTGTCATTGCCTGTCTTTTTGATAAAAGCCATTTAACTGCGGTGAGATGATATCTCCTTGTAGTTTTGATTTGCATTTCTCTTATGATTTGTGATGAAAGAGAGAGAGAGTTGAGCATTTTTACATATACCTGTTAGTTATTTGTATGTCTTCTCTTGAGAAATGTCTATTCAGATGTTTTGTCCATTTTTAAGTTGGATTATTTGTTTTTTTGCTATTGAGCTATTTGAGCTCCTTATATATTCTGGTTATTAATCCCTTGCCAGATGGATAGACTGCAAATATTTTCTCCCAGTCTATGAGTTGTCTATTCACTTTGTTGATTGTTTCCTTTGCTGTGTGGAAGCTTTTTAGCTTGATGTAATCCCATTTGTCTATTTTTGCTTTTGTTGCCTACATTTTTTACACAAAAATTCTTTTCCCAAAGCAATGTCCAGGAATGTTTTGCCAATATTTCCTTTAAATAGTTTCATAGTTTCAGGTTTTAGATTTAAGTCTTTAATCCATTTTGATTTGATTTTTGTATATGATGAGAAATAGAGGTCTAGTTTCATTCTTCTGCATATGGATATCTAGTTTTCCCAGCGTCATTTATTGAAGAGACTGTCCTTTCTCATTGTATGTTCTTGACACCTTTGTCAAAAACAAGTTGGCTGTACACGTATGGAATTATATTGGGTTCTCTATTCTGTTCTATTGATCTATGTGTCTGTTTTTATGCCAGTACTATGTTGATTTGGTTACTATAGCTTTGTAGTATATTTCAAAGTCAGGTAGTGTGATGCCTCCAGTTTTTTTTTTTTTTTTTTTTTTTTTCGCTCAGGATGGCTTTGGCTATTCTGGGTCTTTTGTGGTTCTATATACATTTTAGAATTGTCTTTCCTATTTCTGTGAAGAATGTCATTGGTATTTTGATAGGGCTTACATTAAATTTATAAATTACTTAGAATAGTATTGAAATTTCAACAATTCTTACAATCCATGAGCATGGAATATCTTTTTATTTTTGTGTGTGTCCTCTTCAATTTCTTTCATCAGTATTTTCCTTATGTAAATCTTTTACTTCTTTGATTAAATTAATTCCTAGGTATTTTATATTCTTTGTGGCTATTATAAATGGGATTGCTTTCTTAGTTTTTTTTTTCAGATTGTTCATCATTGGCATACATAACACCAGTGATTTTTGTATGTTGATTTTGTATCCTGCAACTTTACAGAATTCATTTTTAAGTTCTAACAGTTTTTTGGTGAAGTCTTTAGGATTTTCTGAATATAGTACCAAGTTATCCATGAATAAGGCTAATTTGACTTCTTCCTTTCCAGTTTCGATCCCCTTTATTTCTTGCCTAATTGCTCTGGCCAGGACTTCTAGTGCTACATTGAGTAAGAGTGGTGAGAGTGGGCATCCTTGTCTTATTACAGATCTTAGAGGAAAGGCTCTCAATTTTTCCCTGTTCAGTATGATGTTGGCTATGGTTTTGTCATACATAGCCTTTATTATTTTGTGGCCTGGTCCTTCTATACCTGTTTATTGAGTGAGGGTTTTTATTACACTGGAATGTTGAATTTTATTGAATGCCTTTTCAGCATCTATTGATATGATCATATGGTTTTTGTTTTTGGTTCTATTAATGTGGTGTATCATGTTTATTGATTTGCCTATGTTGAATCATCTTTGCATCCCTGGAATGAATCCCACTTGATCATGGTTAATGTGCTATTGAACTCAGTTTGATAGTATTTTGTTATGAATTTTTGCATCTATGTTCATCAGTGATATTGACTTACAGTTTCCTTTTTTTGTTATGTCCTTATCTGGCTGGTATCAGGGTAATGCTGGCCTCATAGAATGAGGTTTGAAGTATTTCCTCCTCTTTAGTTTTATAAAATAGTTTGAGTAGAATTGGTATTAGTTCTTCCTTAAATGTTTGTTAGAATTCAGCAGTGAAGCCATCAGGTCCTGGGCTTTTCTTTGATGGGAGACTTTTTCTTACAGTTTTGATCTTGTTATTTGTTATTGGTTTGTTTGGGTTTTCTATTTCTTTATGGTTTAATCTTTGTAGGTTGTATGTGTCCAGGAATTTATCTATTTCTTCTAGGTTTTCCAATTTGTTGGAGTATAGTTATTCATAATAGTCTCTAATTATTCTTTGTATTTCTGTGGTCTCAGTGTTATATCTCCTTTTTTCTTTCTGATTTTATTTATTTGGGGTTTTTCTCTTTTTCTTAGTCTAGCTAAAGGTTTGTCAATTTTTTTTTATCTTTTCAAAAAACCAACTTTTCATTTCATTGATCTTCTATATTTTTTGTCTCAATTTCAGTTATTTCTGCTCTGATCTTTATTATTTCTTTCCTTATACTAAATTTGGATTTAGTTTGTTCTTGCTTTTCTAGTTTCTTGAGGTACATCAGTAGGTTGTTTATTTGAAGTCTTTCTACTTTTTTGATGTGGGTGTCTATTGTTGTGAACTTCCATCTCAGCACTGCCTTTTCTGTATCCCATACATTTTGGTATGTTGTACTTTCATTTTCATTTGTTTCAAGGAATTTTTTAATTTTCTTCTTAATTTCTTGATTGCTCTATTAGTCATTTAGGAGCATGTTGTTTAATTTCCATATATTTGTATGGTTTCCAAGGTTCCTCTTGTTATTGATTTCCTGTTTTATTCCATTCTGTTCAAAAAGATACTTGATATTATTTCTACTTTTTTGAATTTATTGATACTTGCTTTGTGGCCTAAGATATGATCTTTTCTGGAGAATGTTCCATGTGCTGATGAAAAGAATGTGTATTCTGCAGCAGTTGGATGAAATGTTCTGTGAATATCAGTTAGGCCTATTGGATTTAATGTGTAGTTTAACTCCGATTTTTTTTGTTGTTGTTGATTTTCTGTCTGGATGAGGTGTCCATTACTGAGAGTCGGGTACTGAAGTCCCCTACTATTACTGAATTGCAGTCTATCTCTTCTTTTAGATCTATTAATGTTTGCTTTATATACTTGGATTTCCAGTGTTGAGTGTACAGATGTTTATAATTGTTATATCCTCTTGCTGAATTGACCCATTTATCATGATATAGTGACCTTTTTTGTCTCCTTTTACAGTCTTTGACTTGTAGTCTATTTTATCTGATACAAGTATAACTATTCCTGCTCTTTTTTGTTTTCTGCTTGCATGGAATATCTTCTTCCATCCCTTCACTTTCAGTCCATGTGTGCCTTTATAGGTGAAGTGGGTTTCTTGTAGGCAGCATATAGTTTGGTCTTATATTTTTAATCCATTCAGCTACTGTGCCTTTTAATTAGAGAAGTGAGCCATTTACATTAATATTGCTAAGTAAGAAATTACTACTGCCATTTTGTTGCTTGTTTTCTGGTTGTTTTGAAACTCTTCTCTTCCTTTCTGGTTAAGTGATTTTCTTTGGTAATATGTTTTAATTCATTGCTTTTTATTTTTAGTGTATCTGTTATAGGTTTTTGCATCATGGTTATCATGAGGCTTACAAAAAACATCTTATAGATGATAACAAGTTATTTTAAAGAGATGACAACTTAGATCACAAAGAAAAATTAGAAACAAACAAACTAAAAGCTAAAAAAAAAAAAACCCCAACTACACATTAAGTCCATTACTTCCAATTTGGGCTCTTTGTTGTCTTAATTTACACATTTTTATATTGCCTATCTCTTAATAGGTTGCTGTAGCTATTATTGTTTTTGATAGCTTTGTCTTTTAGGCTTCATACTAAAGTTATAAATGAATAGCACACCAAAATTATGGTATTAGAGTATTCTGGGTTTGACTGTGTACTTCATTTTATCAGTAGGTTTTATACCTTCAAATGTTTTCTTTTTCCATGGTTAGTGTTTTCTTGTTTCAGACTGAAGAACTCCCTGTAGCATTTTTTGAAAGATGGGTCTGGTGGTGGTGAGAGGCCAGTTTTTGTTTGTCTAGGAAAGACTTTATCTCTTCTTCAGGGTTAAGGATAGCTTTGCTGGATAAAGTATTCTTGAATGGCAGTTGTTTTTTTCTTCTTTCAGCCCTTTGAAAATGTCATCCCACTTCCTCCTGGCCTATATGGTTTTCTTTGAGAAGTCGATTGCCAGCCAATTTGGAGCCCCTTTTTATGTTATTTTCTTCTTTTCTCTTGCTCTCTCTCTTTGTCCTTAACCTTTTTTTTTTTTTTTTTGAGACAGTCTCACTCTGTGCCTAGGCTAGAGTGCTGTGGTATCAGCCTAGCTCACAGCAACCTGAAACTTCTAGGCTCAAGCAATCCTTCTACCTCAGCCTCCAGAGTAGCTGGAACTATTGGCACGCGCCACCATGCCCGGCTAATTTTTTCTATATGTTTTTTAGTTGTCCAGCTAATTTCGTTCTATTTTCAGTAGAGACGGGGTCTCGCTCTTGCTCAGGCTGGTCTCGAACTCCTGAGCTCAAATGATCCACCCGCCTCGGCCTCCTGGAGTGCTAGGATTATAGGCATGAGCCACCGTGCCTGGCCTGTCCTTAACATTTGAGAGTTTGATTATCATATGCCTTGGGGTATTCTTACAGGGGTTGAATCTGTTTAGTATTCTCTGGCCTTCTTGTAGTTGGATATTTATATCTTTCTCTATTTTGGAAAGTTTTCTGTTATTATTTCTTTGAATAAGTGTTCTCTCTTGCTCTTGCTCAACTCCCTCTTGACACCAATAATTCTTAGATTTGATCTTTTGAGGTAATTTTCTATATTTTATAGGCAATCTTCATTCCTTTTAATTCTTTTTTCTTTTTAGCCTCCGTCTCATCATATTTGAGTTCTGGGACATTGTTGGTGATAACCTCAGTGCTGTATATTTGAGTTTTTTCTTTGAGGAGAAGTGAAGCCAGCTTGCATCTATGACATCATTTTGGAACCAAAAGTATCTGTCTACTAATTCTAATTTTGATTTCTTTAAGATGGAACAAGAATTTAAAGATTGCTGCAAAGCAATTTAATCCTTTTGGATTTTTGTACCTTTTTTATGTTTTAAATTGCCTTACCACACCTAACTCAACAGCAACTTTCTAAAAAGCTACTTGTGTTTATTGGAACATTCCAAAACATTCAAATTTGTTTTTGTAGAAATAAAAACTACTTTTCTTTTTATATTCATATTTTGTCAGTTTTCATAAGTTGCAAATTACAGTAACAAGGACAAAAGACAAAAATACTGGGGAAGAAGCACAAATAATTCCTGGTAAACATCTATTTCAACTAGTTGGAGAAGTGTGAGAGTGTACTAAACATGGCCCACCAGTCTAGCTAGTCAGCATGCTGTGGGCACCAGTCAGTGTATTTCTTCAGAAGTGTAAGCACACAGTTAACTTAAGCATTAGTCATGGGAGTTTGGTTAAGAAATCTTCCATAGCACCCCAATGAGGAATTTAGCTAGTTCCACAACTGTTTATTGATTGCTTACTTTTGACTGGACACTGAATTTGATATTGGAGATACAAAAAACCAACTAAGACATGCTCTCTACTCTTCAATATCTCACAAACTAATGGGGATGGCAGACACAAATAAAAGTTAGAAAGTGTCTCAGGATGATAAGGTACTATAGGAGAATCAGGCACAGGAAGTGCATTTAGACAACGGTAGGTCCTCAGGTATGGTTTCTTGGGACACAGGTCACCTAAGCTGAATTTTGAAGAGTAAGTAGGGGTTAGTTAGATAATAAAATACGTAAAGGGGAGGCAGAGGGAAGCAGAGAGAGATGGCAGTCAGAGTGAACAGCCTCACCTGCTGCTGCTCTAATTCCCATCACTTCACCTCTGCTTCCTCGCTTGCCCTCTACAAACTATTTTTTGTATGGCAACCAAAATAGCCTATTAAAAATGTAAACCAGACTATATCACTCTCCTGCCTAAAATGTTCCAGGGGCTTCCGATTACCACCGGAGTAAAGTCCAAACCTCCTCCCATTGCCTAAAGTGTTCTGCATGAGTGGTGCCTACCTGCATCTCAGGGCTTACCTCAGGCCATCACAGAAGAAGAAAGAGCAAGATAGCCCTTAGGCCTTGAAGTCAGCAGAGGTGAAAATGCTCCAGGGCCAGAATGGGTAAAGAAGGGAGGGTAGGATAAATGAGGACATTTGTGGTGAAGAAATATACTTGAAGGTACACTTAACATGTTATCTGACATGTGGTAGGTCCTCAATATTTGCCCATGGATAAATTATAATTGAATGAATGAAAACACAACCTGGCCCAGAACTGGCCCTGCCTTTTTCAGGCCAGAAAGAAGTCTGGGCCAGGTGCCCTATCTAGTCACTGCTTTCATTTTCTCCTTGCTGATTTCCTGCTTAACACCTCTTTTTTAGATTTAACGAGTTGGTGAGTTCAGCTCACATGCTGCAGGTCAACCGAACATACAACGAGAATGATGTGGTCCTAATGCGGTCCAAAATTAACGTTATTATCAAGCTCTACCTGCATTCTGACATCCCTCCAAAGCTGAGGGTAAGGGGGACTTCCACTCCACTCTGTCCTTTAGTCAAAAAACATTTCCCCCACAGGGACCCTGAAAGCTAATTATCAGATGACTCTTAAGTATTGGACCAACTAGATGTCCTTTACCTAGCAATCCCATGAAAAGCTTCTCTTTTTTGGAGAGGAGGTGGTCTTGAGGGTCCTGGGGGCCAAGAGAGGTTTTCTGCCTTCCCTGGAGCCTCTGCCAGTGACAGGCTCCCACTCTGTGGATAGGTGAATATCTCTGAGTCCCAGAAGGATGCCATCCTTGCTGCCATCGCAGAGGGCCATCTGGATCGGAGCATCTTCCATGGGGCTATCATGACTATCTTCCCCATCGTCATGTACTTCTGGAAAAGGTAACTCTCTCTTCTTATTCGATGAATGCCACGTCAGGTTAAAAACAGCCTTCTAGAGAGTTTTCTATCTTCTTCTAACCTTTGTTTCATAGTTTCCAATTTTGTGGGGGAACTAAGATGGTATTTTCTTATCTTATTCACTACTCTCCCTCCCTCACACAGAACACTAAATACTGAATAAGAAAATGGACAGCAGAGTAAGACTGGGAACCAGAATGCCTGGTTTCCCACCTCACCTCTTCTTGTGCTTGCTTGGAACAAGAATGTGAGGTTTTCTCAGGCCTAGGTTTCTCACCTAAGGGCAAGGGTAAACCACAGACACTTTGGAAGAAATGCTGTCAAGGTTAACACAACTGCTTGTGTTTAAGGAGCCTCATGAAGGAAGAAAGCTGGAAGTGTTTTGCTCTGTTATGCCCCAATTCCCATAATTACCATTGAGAGGGCACAGTTGCTAGATATACCAATTTTCAAGAGGAGCTAGAAATTCAAAATTCTGTGTCATCTCTCCCAAGGTTAAAGTGGCAAATGTGGCAGGTAACTCAAGACTAAAACACGGTGAGGAAACTACAAAGGCCAAAAAACAAAAATGAAACAAGCAAAATATCTGCAGATCAAATGCAATCTGTGGCCACTGGTTCCTAAGCAGTCTTGTCAAGGTTTGGGCTGAGAGACTGGCTTAAGTTCTCCCAGCTGGTTATTTATTCCTACCCTAGCTAGTCTACCATAGCTCCAGCTCACATCTTCCACGTGGTAAATGGCAATGTCTTGGATGGTGGGGGCCAGAGGACACTGACATTTTCTCAGACATGGTTAATCAGGATACTTAGATTATCATGTGATTCCAGCTCTCAGAGTTTCTCCTCTCCCACAAAAAATGTTAGTTTATTAAGATAGAAGTGTATAAAGGTTGCTTACCAATTGCCAACCTTTATTTTAAAATCCCTAAAATAATAGGTTATTTGATATGGAATTAAAATAAATACAAAAATCTAAGTCTAAGATAAGCAATTTAGCCTTTAGAACACTAATTGTTATCTAGCACTTAATTCTAGTCCTCCTAACCAGGACTAAATAGAAATTCATTGTGAGAATTTCTCTTTAGGGGAATCAGGGAGCTCTGAGATATATACACTTCTCCTGGCTTGAGTCAGTGTTCAGCTGTCCCTAAACGTGTTTAGAAAGATTATAGGTACTTTAGGAAAGTTTTGGATCCCTGATCCTCATGCAGTTATTTCTTTACTTGCTTTCCTACACACTTATAAAGAGATTTATGTTGTGCAAACCGTGTTTACATGTATTATCTCAGATTACACGAGTCTGAGTTCACATGAGAAATCAGAGTCTATTCCAGAGAAAAGCCTGCTAGGAATAGGGTGAGGGGGCTGAGGTTGTCAGGAAGGGGCAGGATGGAAAGCAAGGATCAGGACCTGAGAGGAGACCAGTCAGACGCTCTGGCTGCACCAGGTAGGGTTAGATAGGGATCTCATAGTCTGATACTCAGGCATCCCCCAGGGGTTAACCCTAGCCCAGGCCTGGGACAGCAGATTCTTTACAGACTCCATTCAGTGGTTCCAGAAGGACATCCCAACATATCACCCATGGTGGGCCCTTGCGGGAGCCTCAAAAGAAGGGCCTCCGACAGGCAGTACTCCAAGGCCAGAATGCTCTCCTCTTCTCTGTTGAACACCCCACACTCTCTGTGAGGACTGGCCCCAACCTGGTTTCCCCTGTGTTCATTTTCTAGCCCCCTCCACTGGTGGTTTCCCTCCTGTGACCAGAAGCATTCTTCTCACAGGTTTTGTTCCTGGAAGGCAACGCGCTCTTACTTACAGTACAGGGGGAAGAAGTTCAAAGAGAAAAAAAGTCCTCCCAAGACTACGTACAAGTACCCTCATTTGAGTGGAGGTGAGCTCCACCAGGACCCACTGCCCCATTCTCTAGCAACCGAGACTTGTGAAGGGAAAGGGAGGGTCCAAAGGGCCAACTTGGAGACTCCACAGGGGTGTTTCCTGGCGCAGTACACAGCTCATTAACTTGGCCCTCAGGGAAACAGGTGCACTCGGGGTAAAGCAGATATCCGTGGTTAGCAGTGCTCGCAAGAGGGCAACCCACCCGAGTGCCGCTCCCAGCTGCAACTCCCAGGACACCTCTGCGCATGCCTGTCGCAGTCCATGCGGGGGTGGGGGGCTACCTGGGGGTGGAGACCCGCTTCACTGCCTGCTTCAACTCTCTCCATAAAACTCCGTTTGAAAAGCATGTATTAGTGTTAAATGAAATCATAAAAAACTGGATACAAAGTACAGTTTTAATGTGATAAATATATATATTTCTCTACATAAATAATTTTTATGAAAGCATAGAAAAACTTAGAAATAAAGATTAAAATGTTAATAGGGTTATCTCTGTGGTATAAATAGGAGGGATTTATATATATTTATCATTTACATATCACATAATTAATATAAAAATTAAATATGTGCATATATGTGTATACACATTTATAAAAATATATATAAAAACACACAGTCATGCAGCGCCTAATGATGTTTCAGTCAATGACGAATCACATGTATGATGGTGGTCCCATAAGATTATGATATTGTATTTTTACTCTCTTTTCTATGTTTAGATATGTTTAGATACACAAATACCATGGTGTTACCATTGCTACAGTATGCAGTACAGTAACATGTTGTGCAGATTTGTAGTCTAGGAACAATAGGCTATACCGTATAGCCTAGGTGTGCAGCAGGCTGTACCATCTAGGTTTATATAAGGATATTCTATGATGTTTGCACAATGACAAAATCACCTAACAATGCATTTCTCAGGACATATACCCGTCATTAAGTGATGCATGACTGTATATGTGTTTTCTTAGCACAAAGTCATTAAGGCCAGTTCCTTTCCTGATACAACATACAGCTGCAATTGGTACTTGAGCAAGAGGGAATTTTAACAAGAGGGAGAAGCATGGACGGGGCAATGCCTGGTGAGGACAAGTCTGGGTGTCTCTCAATGGGAAGTTCTGGAAACCAAAACAACAGGTCTGAGCATCTGGGGACAGGACCAGCATCAGAAAAAAATATGGAGATAAGACAGTATTAAAAACAACTAACTGTGCCACAATGGAACTGAACATTCTCTTGATTCACTCAAACTTGCTTGATTCTTGTGTCCGTTTTCCCAGATACATACCATTGCCCCCAAGCCAGCTTTGACAAACAAGCCCCCCACCCTCTTTTTGGAAGACAAACAAGAGCCCTTAGGATCTAAATCCATCTGAACAGGGAACAACTTGTCCCTGGGTGTGGGAGAGCTTATTTAGGATGGGAGTGAGGATGGAGAAAGAGGAGGAGATAAGAGAAAAAGGAGAGGAAAACAGACAGACAGGGCAAGTAACTAATACTCATTTAGAGGAATGAGAAAATGGTCCTTAGTGGTAGCCAAAGAGTGCCCAGCTTTTGGCTTAGTTCCTATAGCTGAGCTCCAGGGAAGTAAATCCTCCAATTTCTTCTGATGTCAGAATGAGGAAGAGAGAAGCAGGATGCCATGAATTAAGGGATGAGGGTTCCAGGCCTGGAGAGTCAGCAACTGTGAGCTGAGGGACCTCGAGCGTGTTGCTTCCCTCTCTTAGCCTCAGACCCCTAATCTCACGTCTTAGTCTATTTTGTGCTGCTATGACAGAATACCTGAGACCGGGTAATTTGTAAAGACAGGTTTATTTGGCTCATGTTTCTACAGACTGGGAAGTCCAAAAGCATGGCAACAGCATCTGGTGAGGGCCCTCATGCTGTGTCATCCCTGGCGAAAGGTGGAAGGGCAAGAAGAGTGCAAGCGAGAGAGCAAGAGAGGGCCAAACTTGCTTTCATAACAATACACTCTCACAATAACAAACCTACTCCTGTGATAATAACATTAATCAATTCATGAAAGCAGAGCCCTCATGGCCTTATCATCTCTTAATGGTCCCACCTCTTAATACCATTTCATTGACAATTAAATTTCAACATGAGTTTTGTAGGGGACATTCAAACCATAGTATCTCAGATACAAAGGCTTGGATTTAGGTAATGTTCTGTCACTCACATCCTATAATCTTTGGCATGTTACACAAGAACTTTCTGGCTTACTTAGAAAGATTTCATCAGGAGTTGCTACAAGGATTTTCAATGCTCTCTTTCTTCTTTCCCCAGGAGACCAGGCCACCTTAAGGTTCACCTTGCTCAGAGGTGTTGAGTGGTTGTGGCCTCAACAGCGGGAAGGAGGGACAAGTCCAGCCCCAAATTGTGAGTTGGAGTTGGATCCCATTGATAGCAAAAGGCCGCTACTGTATTAGAAGGTGACTCTAAGGCCAGCTTGGCTAATCTCCTTATTGACCATGAGGAGACTGAGACCCCCGAAATGTGAAATGACTTGCTCAAGATCACACAGCTTGTGAGTGGCAGAGTGGGGGTAAAAAGTGGATCTCCTGACCTTTTTCCAGAGCTCTGAGTGCAGCTTTCATCTGAATAATTATATCTTCTTGATTCTTTTATAGCCCCTGGAAGGCAGATGCCTTAAGCTTCTTCATATCTCTGCTGACTCCTCTGTCCATTTCCAGGCATTATGTGTGATTTTTATTAAGAGACCACCACAGTATCCCAGTTGTTACTTCCCCCCTCCCACGGAGACCACTTGCTGGCTTGAGCAGTACCATCCCATACCTCCTGCCACTGATCTCGTCCCTGTAACAACCCCTGTGGTTCTAGACTCCCATAGTGAGGCCATATTACATTCTTTTTCTTTGCCATTTTCAGCCTCAAGAAGTCAACCGCACTCCCTAGCACTAACTGTGTCTTTGTTTCCACATGGTGTCTCTCAGCGAATCTTTCCTTTAGACTTCAATTGTCAGCTTCTACTTGGGGAAGATGTTGGGAATACCGTTTTTCTGCTTCTCATAGGCATCAAACACCACCTTGACTGACCTATCCCTTTATGTTTCCTTGGTACCTAATGGAGGAGGCCACTATGGAACACTGCCCATGATCCATAGGGTCCAAACATCCCTAAAGTCTGTGATTCTAGTGTTCATCTGGCCTAATCTCCTTATTTTACTTCCTTTGGTCTATGTGGTTAGCATCATGGCCCTTGCATCCAGATGCTGTGTCTCCTGGGACAAAAAATAACTGTAGCATACAAACAAGGTCTTCCAAATATCCCTGGGGCACTACTGCTTTACCTCCCCTTTCCCAACCCCTTCCTTTGAGGTGAGCCTGGAAGCCCTCCTGGGATGGTCCTCCCCAGGCTGAAGGTCCTCCAGTGACTCTCTGTATCATGAGTTCTGATGCAGTTTTTCTCTGTATTTGTCTTTAGCTTCATCAAGCAACCTTACCCAGCCAAGACTTGTGCTATCTACCATGCAGCTGTATCCTGTCCAGGGGTAGGCATGAGCCAGAAATCCTCATCTTCAGTTCAGAGCTGCTATGTCCAAGCGCACCACGGGAGACAGGATAAACTTTCCAGGACCTAGCTACACATCCTGACTCTCCCCGGCATGTAGAACCAAGAAATGGAGCTTGATGCCTCTAGAGGGGCTTGTAGTTGGGGCAGTTAGGGAGGGGTTTCTCTGTGAAGGTCTTTGCTCACCTCCAACTAGGACAGGCACTTTTAGGAGGTTGGAGTCCCTGACCCACCTTACAGCAGAACACTATTGCTGGTGGAAGAGTGTCTCAGACTATTTGTTATTACCAGCTTCCCAAATACTCTAGCCCTTCAGAGTAAGGTGTGCAAGGTGAGAAAGAAAAAGGAGCTGTACTTCTGCTTGGCAGGATATTGGCAATAAGAACAGAAAGAATGTGAGCCTGTTGAAATCTGATTCAGCCAAACTCACTTCTGCACAAGCATCAGAGTAAAACTGATGCTAAGGTAGGGCTGTGGGAGAATCCCCAAGAGTCATGGAAACTGCAGCTAAGGAGTGTCAAAGAATTGTTTGAAGGCCAAGGTTACAGACAGCAGCATCTGAGAATGGCAGGCCTGGTTTCCTCGTCAGCCACCTCACCTTCTCAGATCTGCTTGCAGACCTGTCCTTCCAAGAGAAATCTGGAGCCGCCCAGGTATCATTTGCCAGTGCTGATGCCTAGAAGATGAGCCAGGTTCTTTGAAGGTCTTTACACTGGGAAGACAATGCATGGCTTCAGAGGCTACAAGCTCTTGGGGAAGAAAGTGAGACTAAGAATGTGAGAAGCCCTATCCTGAAGGCAAAAGGTTTCAGTCTGGGCTATTGCCACCCCTAAAGGAAATGACAGCAACAAACCAGCAGAGAGTACAGTTTTAGAGACCTCATAGCCATTGTGATAACTGGCTACTCTCTCTCCTTTCAGGCAAAAAGTACCCACCACCAAAAAGGAGAAGAAATAATCAAGTCAGGCCCCCTACAGAGGCAAATCATCTCTCAGAGGCCTCCTAACGCTGACAGAACCTTTTCTGGTAAGAAATGAATTGCCCTGGCACCATCTACCCCTGGAAAGATCAAGAAGGGGGATGGGGTGACAGCCCAGATAAGGCAGGAGCGGACGGCGATGGGTAAGACATGGGCAGGACACGGAAGGAAGCACTTTTGCCCTCCCTGAGCCTGGGGGTCCTGCTGGAGATGGTCTTTCCACAGGGGTTTGGGATAGGAGACCTGGGCTCTAGGTCTCACTCTGTGGCTGTGTGGCCCTGTGCAAATCCTGGCTGGGGTTGTTGAAGACTCCCATGACAAATGGTGTAGATGTCATTGAACACTCTAGGGAGCCAGGTGCTGTTTTCATCAGCAGTGACCGATGGGTCTTTTCACGCTTGGATCTCCCATTTGGACAATGACTCATACCCGTTGTCTTAGTATGTCCTCAAAAGAACCCTGTGAGCGACCATGTCCGAAATCATTTATTTTTAAACAGATGAGGACACTGACACACGGAGAAGGTAAATGACTTTCCAAAGATTTCTAGGTAGTAAACGGCAGATTCTGGACTAGAACACACCACTTCTTATACTTTGTCCTGTTCCTGTTCTGTGGTAACCATCTATGCAACTTTTTTTTTTTTTTTTTGAGACAGAGTCTCGCTCCATTGTCATCATAGCTCACTGCAACCTTGAGCTCCTGGGCTCAAGTGATCCTCCTGCCTCAGCTTCCCGAGTAGCTGGGACTAGAGGTGTGTGCTATGATGCCTGGCTAATTTTTTCTGCTTTTAGTAGAGATGAGGTCTTGCTCTTGCTCAGGTTGGTCTGGAACTCCTGGCCTCAATCAATCATCCTACCTTGGCCTCCCAGAGTGCTAGGATTACAGGCATGAGCCACCACACTCAGTCCATTTATGCATCTTTTTATGCATGAAAGGAATAGTTCTTCCCTGGAGTTCTGTTCATTTGCCAACTAGTGGATAAAGAGATTCTTTGTAAAGTTTTTGACCTAAAGGCCTAAACTATTGTCATCATTTTAAGTGACTAGGCCCATGTTCTGTCCTTTGAAAACAATCAGGAGTAAAACAACAGTAAGAATGTCTTCAATGAACCCTCCACTTGGCATAATTGAGGAGATGTTGACTCATCATCTCTCTGGGTTACAGAACAAGGAAGGACTAGAAAGCTTACAGGAGAATCCTTTCAAATTTCCAGCCAAAGTTTCCTGCTATGCTGATATCCTTTACTTCTTAGACTTTTCACAAGGATGTAAAAGGTTGTAATGTCAGAACAGGGCTCATGAACAGCTGGGACTGCAAGATTATCTGGCGGGGCTGTGACTGCAGGAGATCCAGGAGGGCTGTGGGCAGACATGACGCTAGAGGAGGTTGGAGGAAGAAGGTTATGGAGAGGCCCGTGGCCCCCGGGAGAGGCCCAGAAAGGGAAGCGATCAGTGTACGGAAGGCCCTTCCCTAACAGGGATAGCACTTCAGAATGGGACTTCGATTAATAGATGGAAGAGTGGACATGAAACCAAATCCCAGTTCCTAAACATTGGGCACAGAACTGAAGCAAGATCCCAGGAAAAATAATGGAGAAGAGCCCAGTTACTGGAATTGTGGTCCCAGGAAAGGAACAAGAGAAAGAGGAAGATGAGAAAGGAACAAGGCAAGAGCCCCATGCGTGCAAGCACAGAGGATGTTAGGCCGGCAGCAGGGTGATCCGTGAGGGGGCGGTGAAACACTGATGCAGAGTCACGTGCCAAAATGCCCTCACGCTGGAGTGGGGCATGGCTGAACCAACGGCTGGCAGTAGATGGGCCCTACTTAAGGAAAAGAAAGAGTCTAACTGACTCATATGCCACTGAGATCCTTGCCCCATCTTCTTATTTCTTAATTATCTCTCTATATATATGCACCCTTGGATACACGCATGTGCCAGTGTGCAAGCATGCACAAATGTGTTATTTAAAAGGCCTCATGACACTTACTAGGACCATCTTGAATAGAAAAAAAAAAATCTGATCTGTTTTTGAGTCTAAAGGCCTAAAGGCAGGAAAGGATCTATTTGCTTGCTCATTCAGGTTGTTGGCAGAATTCAGTCCTTGCAGTTGTAGGACTTGTTGATTGTATTTTCTGGTTTCTCTCTCCCTTAGGAGATCCCAGATCCAACATGTTCCAATGCTAGCTTTAAGCTAGTGTCACAAAGTCAATCACTTATAGAACACAGACAGGTTATATAAATGAGTAAAGCAGCCCAGGAAAGACAACAGGGAGTGGTAGAGACTGTGGTGAATTGGAGAACATGTCTCAAAGGGGTCAGTGACAGTCAGCTCCAGCCAGCCAACCCAGTGTTGTCAGAGAATATACTTAGGAAAAAAAAAAAAGAGTAGGAGGGAAAGGAGGGAGGGAAAGAAGGAAGAAAGAAAGGAAGGAAGGAAAGAAGGAAAGAAAGAAAAAGAGTGAGAAATTTAAATTTTTTCTAACACTACAGGTCAAATAAATCTTAGCTGGGGGCAAGGTTGGCTCACAGCACAACAAATTGCAATCTTTTCTGTAATTTTTTTTCTTTCCTCTAAAATTAGATTTGGGTCCCACATCTAGCTTGGACAGAAAATATGGGAGGGAAGGAAGAGGAGTCCCAAAAATAGATCCATAGCGGGTGCTGACATCTAAGGAAAAGGCCAAGAAAGAGGCTCCAGGAAAGGAACCTGGACTGCTGTAGTCCCTGTATGTCTTCTATTGCTACCATAACAGGTTACCAGAAACTTAGTGGCTTAAAACAACACAAAATTATTATTTCATACTTCTATAGGTCAGAAGTCTGACCTGGATCCCACTGGGCTGATACCAAGGTGTCAGAGGGCTGTGTTCCCTCCTGGAGGCTGCAGGAGAGGATCCATTTGCTTGCTCATTCAGGTTGTTGGCAGAATTCAGTCCTTGCAGTTGTAGGACTGAGGTCTCAGCTGACAGCCACTCCCACCTCCTAGAGGCCACCTGCATTCGTTGGCTCAGGACATCCTAAGCCAGCAATGGTGGACAAGTCCCTGTCATCCTTCGATTTTCTCCCGCCTCTTCTTCTATCATCCTCTGCCTCCCAGTGCTCCTTTTAAGGGCCCACCCAGATAATCCAGAATAATGTTTCTGTTTTAAAGTCCTTAACCTTAATTCCATCTGGCAAATTTATTTTGTCATGTAAGTAACATGGTCACAGGTTCTAGGGATTAGGGTGTGGACATCGCTGGGTGGCCACCATGACTTCTGCCTACTCCAGTCCTCAGACCAACTTCCTTAGGAAAGGATGTGTAAACTCGGAATCTGGGCCTCTCATGAATTTCCTGCCTCCTAGAGCCTCGCGAATACCACTTTCTTCTTGCTCTTATCACATTTCTGACTATCCTTTCTCAGTCTTCTTAACTCTTTCCCTGCTTTCTCCTTAAATGTCAGTGCTCCCCAGGGCCCCACTGTTGCACTCATCTTCTTACCACACACCCTCGCACCAGGATGACATCCCTGGCTCCAGCTTCTCCTCTAATAGAATCCATATTTCCTATCGGGATGCTGCAGATTTAACGTATCCCGCATCAGCTCCGGCTCCTGTATTCCCTTTCTCCGATCGACCCCGTCTTCCAAGCTAGAGAACTTAGAGTCATCCTCAGCTCATTCCCACGTTTGAGCTGCAGAAACAGGAAGTTCTGCCCATCCTGCCTTGGAAGTGTCGCTCACATGCAGACTCTCCTCTCTGTCCCCACTGGCACTGCCTTCCCCACGCTCTCATCCTCTGTCACCAGATCTGTGAAGTCACTTCCTCTCCCTGGTCTCCTCACTCCCCTCTCCACACACACCTGACACACACTGCTTTATCCCATACACTAAGATCAAATGTGACCTGTTCCTTTCCTCAGTGTGAAAACCTTTATTCCTTTTCTTTGCCTGAAAAAGCCTCAATTTCTCAGTAAAATATACAAGGCCATTGGTAATTTGACCTCAGCCCAGGTTTCCAGGTTCCTGTCTTTCTCTGTTCCATGCGTTCCATCCTTCAACAACATGATTGTCTACAACGCCCTGCCCCCTCCTCTCCACCCGGCAATATCAGACATCATCATCCCTCCTAGTCTTCCCCTCCCTCCTCTCACCCTCTCCTCTTTGTTTCTGAGACAGAGTTTCTCCCCTCCTAGAGGTACTGGTTCACATACGTGGCTCACCTACTAGACTGTCTACATTTGCAGGCAAGAGACCAAGTCCTAGTTTTCATCATACCTAGCGCAGCAACATGCAGATAATAGTTGCCCTGTAAATACGTACTGAATGCATGAATAAGTGAATTGTGCTCGGTACTGGCGATGTAGCAGAGAGAACAGCATGCGAAGTTTATGCCTCTGCTGACCTTATAGTCCATTCAAGTAGACAGTGCTATTACCAGAAAATCAATTCAGCAATCAGTTAAAATTGTGATTACCACAATAAAGAAGAACTATCAAATGCTGTGTTCTTTAGGAAATTTTTGTACAGTCCAGTAATTCTTGATGCTTCAAGAACTTTTTATTTTCTAGGAATCTCATACAACCCGCTCAGACCAGAGTGACAGAAAGAGGCGGAGGAAAGCACGGAAGAGCGAGAGACTGAGATCTGCCTTCGCTTTCAGAAGAGCCTGTTCAGACACGTGCCAGAGAGTGACGCGCAGTCTCCCCTCTTTCTACAGAAGTATGAAAAAATGTCCCTCTTTTTGAGTGCCTCCAACGCATCCAAGTGTCTCCCAGAGGAGGGGGCAGCCGGTGTGTGCAGCCCCTTGGGGTGCCCATCCTCACCCCAACACCTCACCCAGGGCTGCTGGTCATCAGGCAGAATAAAGGATGTTGCATTCCCTACCTTTGTGCCTGCCCTCCTCTTCTTCAGGAAAAGGGCGTAGGGAAACAGTGTGTTGGTCTTCAATTCAAGAGATTAGTGGATATAATACTTCTCATCCTGGATCAAGATC